CCGCCTGCCCCCGGGAACAACGTCTGAGAGCCCCCTCCCCAGCCGCCCACAGGCCTTGGGGCTCAGACGAGGCAGGTGAGGCAGCCTGGAAGGTGGCAGCCGCAGGCCGGCCCGCACGGGTGTTTCCACGACATCCCCTCGGACATCTGCGCTGGTTCCAAGTCGCAAAAGGCATAGCCTCCCACCGTCCGCACCCAGCTCCCTGGCCAGCCCCCAGCACGCACTCCTCACTCCTGGCCCTGGAGAGAGGGCAGCCTGCCGCCACCTGGGCCGGACTGGGGCTGGTCTGGCTCTAGGGGTGCCGCTCTGCAGTGCCATCTCCCGCTGGGAAACCACCTGCCGCCTCCCGACTCGGCCCTGCCAGTCCCAGCCAGCAAGCGGGTGCTGCTCCTGCCAACCTCGGCCCCACCATGTGCACAGGGCACCTGGCCTCTGGAGTGTGCAAACAGTGGCCATGGAGACGGGAGGGGCCGCCCGGCAGCTCTGCACTGCCCTGGGACACCGGGACTGCGAGGCAGAGCTGCCGCTGGTGAGGCAGCCTCACTTCCTGGTGCTCCACGGCCCAGCTAAGGGACCCCAGTGGGTGGGTCTCTGCCCCTTGTTCCCGGGACAAGGAGCTTACCACCTCCCAGGCCACAAGCAAGCAGGAGACGGCCCCCTCCTCAGCCCGGCCCGGCCTGTCCTCCCAGCCTCCTGGTGTCCACTGTCCCCAACGTAGCACGGGCAGCACTGCCCAGGGTCAGGCCCCCGGCCCTGCTAGTCCGGCCTGCAGGAGGCGAGCCCTACTGCGGAGCTGGAGCCCAGGCCCTCGCTCTCGCCCCAGCGGAGCTGGCTGCCATGTCTGCAATTCGGGGTGGACAGTCTCCAGGATCCCCACCCAGGCTGTCCAGGCAGTCTCTCCCAGGCTGAACCATGAGGACACTTCTGCGCCCTGCCCACCCCTGCCCTGTCTGGCCGCACACATCCCACGGCCCCCAGAGCACCCCCCACCCTTGCCTGGCCAGTGGGAAGACCACACACTAGCCTCCCCAGCACCTGCTGCAGTGCATGGGCTGGCTGTGGGTACAGACAGGGGGCCCTCAGCTGCTCCCCTGGTCTCGCTCACCACAGGCCTGGCCTGTGGACCACAACTGTGACCACAAGTGCTCCTGCAGCCTTAGCGTAGACGCAAGGCCATCTTCCCCCTGAGCTGCACAGGCTGTCTGTCCCAAGGGCCCCTATCCACCTGGACCCCAACCACAGCCGCCATGGCCCAGGCCTTGTCCTTCCTTAGGCCCCTCTACTCCATGCTGGGTGCCATGGTAGGTCCCACCTCAGGGACAGTGTTGGCCTCATGGAGCGTCCTGCAGCTGTGTGCAAAGCTGGCACACAGAGGCACATGCGGGGTTGCTGGGCCTGCACGGTCAGGACAGGGGCGTGGGGGCGGAGGAAGTGGCCGCGGGCAGAGGGGACACCCTGGCTGCCATTCAGCAGCTGACCACGAAGAAGCTGCACACCTTGGAGGCCTGCAGGCGAGCCACTGCCCTCAGTGAGCCCAGAACCCAGGAGGACTGGTGCGGGGCGGGGCAGGGAGACCCCACGTGGTCAGTGCCGTGCAGGCCTGAGTGCTCTCACAGGGCCCTGTGACGTGGCGGCATCTGGAGACAGTGCACCTGTGCACACGCATGTCTGCTCACTCTCAGAGCAGTACCAGTGCATGGTCCTGTACCCCAGGGACTCCTGTGTGCCACGGACAGGCCTGGGGAACAGCCGACCTGGGCACCCCGTGTGCCGGGGAGGACAGGCCGGGAGGAGACACTGGCCTGTGCGGAGCACCTGAGATGAGCCTCAGATGGCCCAGGCCAGACGCCTCCATCCTAGACCTGCTGTGTGGGGCGGTGCCCACCTGCGGCTGTTGCTTGGGGTGGCTGTCCGTGCCCTGGCTGCCTGGGCTCACATGGGGCTGAAGTCCACCTCAAAGGCAGTGGGTCAGGGCTGGTGGCTGCAGCACCCCTCGGTCACCTCGGCCGCCTTCGCCCCCACAGGCCCTCCCATGAGTCATGCTTTCTCCCGTCTCTCCTCCGAGACCTACGGGCTAGCACCTAGGCCTCCCAGGCCCCGACGCTCCCTGGTGACCTTCTCACCTCACAGCCCTCGGTCCCAGCGAGGTGGGCTCTGCTACAGACGCCCACCTTAGGTTCTGGGACGGGGCGTGCCAGGCAGCTGGCCGCGGTACGCATGTGTGCCCGGAGGCCTGCACTGCACGCCCCTCACGGGCCCTGGCCTGCTGTCCAGGCCACGTTTACTGGGTCCACCGGCACAGTCCTGTGCCAGCCCTGGGGTGCAGAAGGGGCCCAGGCAGCTGGCGGCTCCTCTCGGTGAGACCCAGCACCGGCACGCTGCTGCTGCGTTTGGGCATCCTCTGCAAGAAACGTCCCTCAGGTCCTTTGCTCATTTTCAGTTAGGGTCCCGCGTTGTGTCGTAGGGACGGTCTGTCTGCACTGCCTGCCAGCCTGCAGCAGAGAGTGATCTGAGAATATGTTCCCATTCCTTTCTTCCTTGTCCTTTGATGCATGCTTGTAAGTGTCAATAAAGTACCGTTTACGTGTTTTCCTCTGTCATCTGTGCCCTTGGGGTCACGCCTAGGAAATGACAGATGGCAAGCCCCATGCCAAGAAGCTCGCGGAGTGTGTCTCCGCCTGGGCGTGCAGGCCCAGCGCTCTGGGTGGGGCCAGGGTGGGGTGCAAGCTCACCCTCCTGACCCCTGGGCTCCTCTCTGTGTTCGGGCACTTGGACTTAGACACGGCAGAGAGCAGGTGCCAGGGCAGGGCCCCGGAGTGGCCCAGCAGCCCCTCCTCAGGCTCGACCTGGCCTGTCTGCAGTGGCCACCCACACTCCAAGTGGACAGAGCCTGGGAGGTCACGTGAGAAAAGCTGCCCAGCAGTGCCGCCTGGTGGGCAGGCCCTCGGAAGTGCTGTGCCCAGACTGGCACTCCTCTCTTGGCCACCGCCTCCTTGACCAGTGTTTGCAGGTCGCGATGTGATCTCAGGGCAGGGAGCCTGTGGGCCTGCCCTGCCCCCACGCCCTGGATGCCTGAACATGGGGTCTGGGAGGGCGCCCGGGCTGCTGGCGGGTAGACAGCTTCACTGCGTCTCCAGGGAAGCCGCTTCCAGCCAACAGCGTTCCTCAGTCCCCATAGCAACAGAGCCCGCACTCCTGTTTCCAGGGAAACCCAGCCCTCAGTACCGTGGTTGCCACAGCAACATCGATAGGCTTAGTCGGCCACGGGACAGCAGAGCAGGCTGTGGGGCTGCTGCGCCGGCAGGTCCTGGCCAGGCCCAGCTGAAGGAGGCGACACACAGGGCACCAGGCCGGCCCACCATGAGCTCCGCGTCCAGCGAGCCTGGCTCTGGGGACGCTGCTGCGGAGCAGTCCCGGCTGGGGCTGGACGCTGTGATCCAGGTCAGTGGGGGCCACTACGGGAAAAGCTTTGTCCCCGGCTCTGGGAGCCTGCCGGCTTGCACGTTCAACATGAGTGTGCATACACACGCATGCGTACACATGCGGAGGGCACATGCGCAAACCACACTTGCAGGAGGGCTCCAGTCGAGAGAGGGGCCTGCAGGAGCAAGCCCAGGCCAGCCGTCCCGGGTGCTCAGCCCCAAGCTCAGGAGTGCAGCGTACATGCCAGGGGTGACAGGGACAGACAACCTGCGCTGATTCCGGATCACGTGTGCTGCACCCTCTGACAGGCAGAGAAGCTGGGTGCTTCTGAGAGGGGTTGCCACAGCTCCCTGTACGTGGGCGCAAGTAGATGGGCCCTGTGCCGGTGTGGATGGGCCCGTGTGTGTGCCCTGAGCCTGGCGGTGCGGTGTGGATGGCCCGTGTGAGTGCCGTGATCTGGGCGGTGCGGTGTGGATGGCCCGTGTGTGTACCATGAGCTGGGCAGTGTGGTGTGGGTGGGCCCGTGTGTGTGCCGTGAACCGGGCAGTGCAGTGTGGATGGCCCATGTGTGTGCCGTGATCTGGGCGGTGCGGTGTGGATGGGCCCGTGTGTGTGCCATGAGCCGGGCAGTGTGGGAGTGGATGGGCCCATGTGTGCGCCGTGAGCCGGGCGGTGTGGGAGTGGATGGGCCCGTGTGTGTGCCGTGAGCTGGGCGGTGCGGTGTGGGTGGGCCCGTGTGTGTGCCTTGAGCCCGGCGGTGCAGTGTGGGTGGGTCCATGTCTGCTGTGAGCGAGTGGTGCTAGTTCCCTGCCTTCACAGCACCTGTCACCCCCACGTCAGTCACAGTCATGGCTAGGGGTCCTCACGTCCCAGGACCAGCCCAGCACCCACTCCCGTGGTCCTGCTCCCCGACAGCCTTCGCCCATCCCAGCCTCCATCACCAGTAGCCTGCACTCCAGGTGTCCCTCGGGGACCCAGTCCCCAGTGCCAGCCTGACAATGGCACGCACTGCTGAGGGTCCCAGCTCCCAGAGCCCGGAGGCCGCCCCTAGGGAGCCCGAGCACTGTGGGGGCAGGTGCCGCGGCTGCCGTGGTGACTCCAGTGCACGGCGGGGTTGACGTGACCACACTGGTGCGAGCGCACACCCTCGCAAGGACAGGGCACGAGGGCGGCTGTCTGAGTAGGCACGCAGGAGAAGCAGGGCCCTAGGGAGCGAGTCACCAGGGCTGGGCTGGCCTCTGTCTGGCCCTGAGTTCTGAGAGAGGAGGGAGGGAGGGTGGCCCTGACACCATGGTGCACCCACGGGATGTTATTGTCCCCTCTGAATGCCAGGAAAACCAAGTCAGGGGTTCGCGGTCAGTGCTGACTTTGGGAGAGACCTGGATGGTGCCACCCAGCAGCGGGCCTGGGTGCCTGGCAGAGGGAGTGTCCCCCTTCCCGGGGCTCCACTGTCCCTGGGGAACTTCCTCTGAAAGCCACGCAGAGCCCTGGAGGGCGGGCGGCTGCCCTGCAGACACCTGTTACCCACCCTGCGAGATTACCGGGTGAGAGGCAGCAGGCGGGCACTGACGATGCCCGATAAGACTGTCCAGACTGGCCGGCGGGGCGGGCGCCTTCTGGCCCCTCAGCTGCAGATGGGAAAGGCGTGGCTGGAAGGGTGTGGCTCGAGGCTGAGGAGCCTCCTCAGGGCCAGGAACCTGCCTCCCCTCTGGCCACAGCTGGTCTCACCACCATCTGGTCCCATGTCCCAGCACCCCGCCCCTACTTAGAGCTGGACCAGAGACAATGGCACGGGCTTGGAATGGGGCCTGGACCGCAGCCCGGGTGAGCGGGTGGGCTAGGGTGCTAAGGCCCTGAGATCACATACGGACGGTGAGTGCTCTTGGCCAGAGGCAGGCCCAGAGTGGGCAGAGAGCCCCAGGCAGGGGTCGCGCACCCAGGCGGGGGCTCCTGGTTCTGCAGGTCAGCCTTGAGGCACAGCCTTCCTTAGGAGACCCCCCTCCAGTCTACTGTCCGCATCCAGCGGCTCCCAGCTGTGGTCCTGACCCCTGTATGCCCAAATGGGGGAGCAGCGGCCCGGCCAGGAGGGCTTTAAGTGCAGGAAAGCGCTGGGCAAGCCGGGACGAGCTGGCCACTCTCGGAGGCACCCCTTCTTCACTCCTGAGGCCAGAACACTCTGACCCTCGGAAAGCTTTGCACCCCTGTACTGTCTCACACCCACCCATGCCCCCCGCTCGGTCTCTGGGAGAGCTGCTCAGCCCCCACCGAGTCTCTGGGAGAGCTGCTCACCCCCACCACCCCCGTCTCTGGGAGAGCTGCTCAGCAAGTACCTGCTCACACACACACCCCCGCCCCGTCTCTTGGTTGTGGTCCTCCCTGAGTTTTCTCTCTCTGTGCCTAGCTCATTGATTATCTGCCTTTTTTCAGTTTCTAAATTACAGTTACAAAAACATACAACATAAAATTGACCGTTGGAACCATTTGTTTTGGTTTGTTTATTTATTATTTTATTTTACTTTGACCAGAGAGTGACAGAATGAGAAAGAGAGCGAGAGCGAAAGCAAGCCACCAGGTCCGGGACTCAAACCCGGTTGACCATGTGGGAGTCCAGCACCTTTAACCACCATGCCACCTACTGTTTGGTGGCATTCAGCACCTTCCGTGCCAGCACCTTCTCCAGGACTCCTGCTCTCTCACTCGGCCCCCTTGCCCTAGCCCTGGTGACCAGCTTATGCCCCCGCGGCCCTGGCATGTGCCTCAGGCCATGTTTGTCTCTGTGGTGGCTCCCTGCACCGAGCAGGGTCCTCTGGTCCATTCCCCGCTGCCCTGGATCCCTGTGTCCTTCCGTGAAGGCTGTCCCCCGTGTGGACGGCCACATTGTGGTCACCTTGGTTTGTCAGGCATTTGAGTGGCTTCCACCTGCCAGGGGCTGTGCATGTCTGATACAGGTGCATGTCTGATACATGTGAATGTCTGATGTGTGTGCATGTCTTACGTGTGTGCATGGCTGATATGTGTGCACGGCTGATATGTGTGCACGGCTGATGCATCTTCATGGCTGATGCGTGTTCATGGCTGATGCATGTGAAAGTCTGATGTATGTGAATGATGTGTGCATATCCGATGTGTGTACATGACTGATGCGTGTGCATGGCTGATGTGTGTGTATGTCTGATATGTGTGCATGTCCAATGTGTGTGCATGGCTAATTCCTGTGCTTGGATGATGCATGTGCACGCCTGATGTGTATGCATGGCTAATTCCTGTGCATGTTTGATGTGTGTGCACGGCTGATATGTGTGCATGTCCAATGTGTGTGCATGGCTAATTCATGTGCACGCCTGATGTGTATGCATGGCTAATTCCTGTGCATGTTTGATGTGTGTGCATGGCTGATGCGTGTGCATGCTAGCGTGTCTCTGTCCCGGCTGCCGCTCTCCCCGACGTGCACTCAGAGGTGGAACAATGTGTCACCTGGCAACTGCGGTGGAGGCCGGGGGTCTCCGATTTGGGTTGAGACGGCTGTGGGGGTGTTTGCTGGTGGAAACTGCTGAGAGAGCTCCAGCCGCTCATGTCCCTGAAACCCATTGCTGGAGCCTCAAGCCCCTCGAGCCCCTAGAGCTCCCTGAAGCCACGGAGCCCCTGGCCCTGGCTCCCTTAAGCCTCAGCTCCATTCTCTGAGAGCCGGCCAGTAGCCCTGCAGGGCCCCTCACAGCCACAGGGTGGCACTGTGGAGCTCAGCCAGCCCAGAGCCCAGCCACTGGCTAATCCACCCTGCTCTGCCTGGAGGTGGAGGACCCAGACGGTCCCCTCTCTCAGCCCTGTTCCTGCCACCAGAAGGGCCAGGTGTGCTAGGTGATGTCTCAGCCCACTGGACAGCCCCTCGTCTGCAGGGACAGTAAAGGGGGTTTCGGTTTCCCACCCGGGAAGAGCATTGGGTTGCTGGACCCCCTCAGCACCCAGTGTCCTCCTGACCTGGCATCTGGAGGGAGCCTCCCTCCATCCCAGAAGTTGCAGCATTCCTTTTGTGTCCTAGCCTCCTCTTCCAGGGGCCTGGGCCGGCCTCCCCCTGCCCCAAGCAGCACAGAGTGGGGATTTGAGAGCAGCTGTCCGACGCGTGGGCCCCGGCACAGGCCAGGAGGTTCTGAGGTGCCCTTGCCCCGGGCTCCCTTTCTGCCTCGCCAGGGACCACTGGCTTCTGTGTCCCGAGCCCTGGGCAGAGTGCAGGGGCTCGGGTCTCTTCTCTCCTGGGAGCAGAGACGCCAGCAAGCACGTCCTCCAGGTGGGGCCAGTCCCCCCAACACAGTCCGGGGGCGGAGGTCCTAGCAGGGTCCACACATGACACCCCTGCACTGGTTAAGCTGAGGAGGGTGCTGTGGGCAGTGGAGGCATTGTGGGTTCGGCCAAGTCCAGGTCTTTGGGAAAATGACGGTCAGCCTTGTCCCCTCAGCAGGCCAGGCTTCCATCAGCCTTCTGGAAGGCTCCCTAGGCCTGCCTGGTTGCAGCCAAAACACAGCCTCCAGGAAGTGACCTGCAGGGACCTGCAGTGTCAGGGGTGGCAGCCGGAGCCTTGGGCAGGACCCGGGGTGCTGGGGATGCTGCTGCTGGGCTGGGGAACTTCAGACCCAAGGATCCAAGGAAGAGGCAGCGTCCTGTGGGGTCCAAGGCTCCAAGGTGCAGGGAAGGCCCTCCCTTCCCACCTGCCCCTTTCGCCACCCCTCCAGCTGCCTGGGGCGGGGCTGTGCTCACACCCACCATCCCCTCTACAGCCCACCCCAGCTGCACCCTCGCCCCCTCCAGCTGGGCGGCAGCCCATCCCAGGCACCAGGCCACAGCTGGGACCCATTACGCCGAGCGCCTCCCGGGACAACCCGGCTAATAAGTGACCCTCTGTAACGCAGGGACCATCAAGCTCGCTCTTTCCATTAGCGGGTGGCGCCGCAGATGCCCGAGGGCTGTTGAGCACAGCGGGCAGGCTGGCTCCAGGTCTGGGGAGCACTATGGTCTCTGCACAGGGCCTGGCCTGCTGCTTGCCACCCTGTGGAGCCTCAGTTCCATCTGCAGAGTAAGGGGTTTGGGGCAGAGGGTGGCTAAACCCATGTTGTCATCTCTCCTAGCGAGGTAGGAGCGGCCTTGGGGCTCTGGGAGGTGGAACAGGCATGGCCTCCTTCCTCCAGCCCCAGGGCTTCTGCTCCCGAGGGAAACTGATCCCCATCGGCACCCAGAGCCCACGGGGTGGGGTCCGTGGGGGGATGTAGGCTCAGGCTCCTCTGCCCTCCCAGGTGAGAGTCAGGCTCAGCCCTCAGGCCTGGGCACCTTCAGAGCAGGCCAGGAACCGGACTTGAAAGGCTGGGGGCAGCCAGCCCTGCTGTGGGGCAGGCAGCCCTCCTGTGGGGCAGGCAGCCCCTCTCTAGGAATCACGCAGAGATTGGGTCTGGGGTGACTCTGGACAGTCTGTCACCAACCCGGGAGGAGGTCAGTGTGGTCAGGAGGCCCACAGGAGGAAGCCTGTGTCCGGAGGGTTGGCAAGAGGCCGACAGGCCAGGAGAAAGGTGGGTTGAGTCAGGGGTGGGCGGGAGCAGGTACGCCCAGGAGGCCTTCACCTGCCAGCTCAGGCCTGGGGGTTGGACCTGGAGGGGCTTGAAGGAGGGCTGGGAGATGGCAGGTCAGGAGGCTGCAGAGTGACCTTGACCCTGGGCGGGGAGGGGGGCCTGGGAGCCACGGGGCTGGGGGTGGGTGGGCGCTGAGTTCCCAGGTGGCTGGGTCACAGGAGGAGAGGTGGGAGGACCCTTGCAGCCCTGGAGAGCTGTGGGGAGTGGGCACACCTCCTCCGGTCCAATCACTGCCTTTCCAAGAGAGGCCCCCTGAGAGGCCGGGCGGCGAGCAACTGTGGGCAGCCCTCCTCTGCCCCGGTCCTACTGGGCCTCTTGTGTCTATGAGTGTCCTGCTGGCCTGAAAGTCGCTGGGCCATTCACTTCCTCCCCCAGCCGGCACCTTGATTCTGCCCCACACAGACCCCTCCCGGCCCATCCTGCTCCTGGAGGACTCTGCCCAGAGCACACCACCACCAGAGCAGGCTCCAGGGACCCAGGACCCTGGATCTCCTGCCCCTTGCCTGCCCACCACCCTGCCTGCTCCCTCCCGGGGAGTCCCAAGGAGCGATCTCCCAAACCCACTCCCAGAGTCTGGCAGGAGAGGAAGGACAGGGCGCACTGACCTGGCTGTCCCCAGGTCCCAGAACAGGCCACCGGGGCCCTGCCCTGGGCTCCCTGGGCCCAGCTGGCTGATGGCAGGGTGGGCACCTGCAGGGAGGCCGGGCTGAGCAGGGGGATTCCAGCCTGTTCAGCGTCCTCCAACCTGGCTACACCTGGGCAGGGCTGGGGCTGGGCTCTCTGTGACCTCTGGTGAGTTCACCCCCACCCCCACAGGCCCCGCCAAGGTCACAGGGAGAGGCAGGGTTCCCCACTATAACCCAAACACAGAGGCGTCTCACCTCAGCACGGCCCAGCCCTCAGCTGGCCTGGCTCTGACCTCGGCCAGGTGCCCAACCATCTCTCCTTCCCACGTGGCATGGCTCACAGCAGTGCCAGGAGCCCTCGGCCCATCCGCTCCAGGGCACTCCACTGCCTTAGGTGGCCCCGTGGTCACCCTCTGGGGTGCCTGGTGACTGATTAGGGGCGTGTTTTGGGGTGTTTTTCAGAGGCTGGAGGACACCATCCTGAGTCCCATGGCCAGCAGGGAAGACCGGGCGCTGACCATGCGTGGGGAGGGTCAGGGGGCCTCTCCCACCCCTGTGCCCGCCCGCATCCGCGAGATCGTGGCTGGCTCCCTGGGCGAGGAGCGCCCCCAAGGTGAAGAATGGTGGGGCAGCTGGGGACCCCAGGATGGAGCAACCGTGGAGTCCCTCCCTGACCAGAGTTCCTGGGGTCAGGGACTCCCTCACAGTGACGGGGGGCCTCCTGGCCCCTGCCTTTGCATACCAAGAGGGAGTAGACCCACACCCACAGGGAGACCCCACAGGGTCTGGGATGCCCAGCTGGGGCTGCCTCTCCATCGTGACAAGCGGGCCCGAGTCCTGGCCTCGCGCTCTTTGTATTTCCGCTGGGAAGAACGTCCTGAAGGCCGACCCTCGGGGGTACACGTGCCTCTGCCTCCATCCATCAGCCCACCCCACAAACCAGCCGCTGCCCCTGCAGCCACCCCGTACAACCAGGGGACTGGCCGGGACTCTCCACCCGCACCAAGCCTGGCAGCAGCCAAGCTGTGGCCCCACGTGCTCGCAACCTTGTGGGGACCCCTTCTTTCACGAGGGGCTAGCCGGCCAGCTGAGGGACCCGGGTCACCCACTGTGTGGGGGAGGAGAGGATGCCTCGCCGCACATGGGGAAAAGTAGCCATCCCTAGGCTCCGGGGCTGCCAGGCAGTTCTGGCTCTCCGGGGTGGACCTGCGTCCAGACCACCACAGCGCTCTGCTGAGACTGGTCCAGGGCTGGCCCGGCCCAGTCTGCACTCAACAAAGTGGAGACAGGAGGGGAGGGGAGGGGAGGGAGGCCAGAGGGTGAGTGCCACCTCCCTGGGGTGGGGGTGGGGTGGGGGTCCCTGCCTTGCTGGGGTCCTCCGTCCCAGCCTGCGTCCTGCCCAGGTGCTTCCATGGACATGCTGGGCGCGGGGCTGGGCGAGGCCCCAGGGCCACAGCTGAGCAGGGTGCTGTGCCCACAGGGGCACGGGGGCCGCCAGCTGCCTCC